GGAAAAAATCTTCGTAATGAAGGCACCAAAAAATAATCAAAAAATCTAGATAAACATCTAGAATAAACCTCTAGATCAACTGTCCCTAAAAAAAGGACAAATCATTTTTTCTTCAAACGTCAAATAATGATGACATTACTTATCTAACTTGATCCTATCAAAGTTTGATGTCTCCGCCGACAGCAGTTTTTTTTCCCATTTCTTTACGGCGGAGGGAAAAATGTTGTCATGACAACAATATGAAACATGTCACAAAGCTACAATACAAATGTCATTAACAACAATTAAACATCATTTTTATTTATAGTAATATTAAAAGTACAATTAGTTAATGAGGCATTTTCAAAATTGAAACCGTGCAAAAATGTTCCCGACTCTTGATACGCATTGGTAATTGTTGATGATAGTGATGGTGAGAACAACTTTCAGCAATCATTTCCGATGTTGACGAATCATGAGGATTTAAAATTGTTTGAGCATTATCGTTCTTATTTCTTATTGAATCCTCTATATATCTTTCGGCAACCGTGCTTGATTTCCAGCTCCCATGTCGTTTGAGGCATTCTAGATTTCCGCCTCCATCAATTAAAAGTATTGCTGAAGTTCGCCGTAAAGAGTGACCCGTGTATGCTCTTGCATCGTTTAAATTTAAGTATTTAGCTACTTTTTGGGCTACTGCGCTGATCGAATGTATTCCCATGACACTTCGGTAACACTTTCCATTTTGGTACTTGATAAAAAATCGGTTTTCTGTGAAATTTTCAGGCCGCAGTGATGCATACTTTTTATACAGTTTAATGTAGTTTTGACCAATTATCGTAAAAGATCTAATTTGTGGTGTTTTACTGTCTGGGATCTTGATAATTATTACATTTTCTTTATCCTCAATATCCACAGTCTTCATTTTCACCATTTCGTCGCATCGACAGGCGCCAGTAACCCCAATTAACAAAACACTCTGAAATATTTTTATAATTTAATAGAGTATACTACATGCTTTGCAACATAATTTTTTTTACCTTTAATCCTTAATATAACTTATCTGGCGCTTCAAACAAAAATTTATTAAACTCGTCTTTAGTGAAAACTTTAAGCTTCTTTTTTTAGAAAGGCACGTAACTTTAAAAATTTGCTTACATCCACATTTTTTCTAATAACTAACTCGGATTTTATCATAGAGTATCGTGACCACATTGTAGAAGATTTCCATTTATTTTCATTTTCCATTATATTAAAATATGCCAGTAAAACGTCTTGCCGTACTTCTCTTGTATCGCACCACTCTTGGAAGTGCTTGTACGCTAACCGATACTTTATTCCGGACTTGAAGGGCCCCAAACGTGCCACTGCATCATTAGCCGCGGCCTCAATTTCGTTTAGGTTTTCCATTTTCGCACTAAATTTGCGCTTGAGGTTGCAACAACAATAAGCTGTCTTTAATAATTGCAAACAACTGTCAAACAACTGTAATCAGGGAGACGCACATCCCACCGATAACTTAATTATTTTAATTTCTAACATCTAGACGACTTTGATAGTTGTCACAGTTAATTTCGAGTAAAAATAGCGTATGAATTGTACTATTTATGGTTAAAAATTGCTACGTTTAAAAAAAAATAGTATACTTTATTCGGCAAAGAAGCGACTTTACTTGACTTGTCCTCTATTACGCGCCTCACTTCGTTCGGCGCGTGATATCGGGCGCGTCAAGAAAAGTCATGCTTCTCCGCCTTATAAAGTAATATACTATTATTGTGAATGATACAAGCCCAAACTTTAACATATATTGTGTGTGAGTCTCACACACCCAGTGATGATTTTCTCTGCTCCAATATCTACAGTTCTCTTTGTTAACCGTTCCACGTTAAATGAAACGTGGCTTTATCAGAAAAAACTATTGTGTTTATAAATTGCAATTCTGCGGTCATCATCATTTCACAAAATTCTTGCCATCTATCAGAATTATCTTAATTTAACTTATAAACCAAATAAACTTTGTAATGGTGGTCTTTTTCTTTATGCAAAACTCTCAAAATAGATAATTTTCTTACATCAATGACGGCAGCAGGTTCTCGCATTATCTTATGCGGATTTTCCTCAATCTCTAGAAATCTCTAGAAGTACATCTAACTTTTTTTCATCAGTAAGTTTAACATTTCTACCTGAGTTTTTATTACTTTTTACATGTCAGTATAACGAAACTTCTTTTGAATTGTGAAAGCTGCAGACAGCGAAACTTGTTGACCAGGGTATTTATTATTAAACATTTCGCAAATCTTCTTTTGAGTTCTTGCAATAAATAAAACCTCCTTGTCATAATTAAAATGTATATTCTTTGAGTCTCGGATAAATGAGCCATAATTAAATTTAATACGCACACAAATATTATACTGACGTCTTTTAGTAACTTTAACACTTTGGCTACTGGCTATAAATTTGAAGTTTTTTGTCAGAAACTAAAACTATATTTTGGTAAAATTCACAATATTTAATACTAACATTTTTGACTACGAAAAATTTCTGAGGCGATTTCTTCTCTAAATTTAGTGATACTTATCTTTTTGTTTGTTATAGCCTCGAATGCAGTATGTGCATTTATAATAGATGTGTTAACCAAAAGTTCAATTGAAACTTTCCTATACCACTTAATACCCCTACGCACTGCTGATGAATATGATGCTTTTTGATCAGGGACATCTATAAATGATTTCACATTATTATACTGCACGATTGTGGAAGGCTTTCTCACGACACCCCTTTTTGTTGGCACGTCCACTATTTCAGGCACAGACTCCGTAGTGAGAAACATGACATCTCTTTTTTTTTTCTTTCCATTTTCCAATTATGATTTCACTGTTACTCTGTCTCATGACTAATTCACCCCTTTTTAATTTAGCCTTACTTACTACTTTTGGATTATGCTTGCTGTGTTTTCTCAGTGTGCCTATTAAATGTGTATCTTTGTTTAGAAGTTCGTGTGCTAAATTCACGCTAGTGTAATAATTATCTGTGCACAAAACGCGACCTGAATGTAAAAGTGGTTCCACAAGCTGTAGCACCACTTTTGTACCAATTGGCTTTTCATTAGGTGTTTGCTCTTTTCCTGTATAAATTTTAAAATTGTATGTGTAACCTTTCACTCCACATAGTTTAAATAATTTCACACCGTCTTTGTGACGCTTCCCCGGTATATATTGGCGAAAGCTCAGTCGTCCTCGAAAAGGAATCATCGTCTCATCTATACACACATTCTTGTCAGGAGTATATGCTGATTGGAACTTCTTGATTAACAAATTTTGCAAGGGAAGCAATTTTTTGAGCCTATCATCTGAGGCAATTTCGTTGTTTGAGAAGTGCAAATTGGACAAAAGAAGCTCAAACCTTATCCTGGACATGTGAACAAATTTTCCAATTTCATTTTAGTACAGCATATTGGTGCTAAAATAATCTCTCAAAGTGGGTTTCCGATCCAAACCCATCCATATTAGAAGACCTAAGAAAACAAAAATTTCGGATTGATTTGTGTTTCTCGATTGTCCCAATAATGCTGTTTTTGTTAATGTTTCATTTGTAATTCCTGATACTATTTTCTGTTCAGCATATCTGTTGGTTTCCTCTGCAATAAGTGATAAGATATCGTTGTCAATAAATAATTTATAAAAATGAATTGGATGATCTCCTTCCGTTTGTGCAAAAAAACTTTGGGAGAATCCTGAATCTTCCGTGAAAGTAAATGTGTTCAAATTACCTACAAAATTATAAACTCAAAACTAGAAAAGTGAATACTAATTTATATATTACCTGCACAATTATTCCAAATGACATTAGGATTAGGATTATTTAAAAAATTATCAGGTTCAGAATCGTTGTTGAGAGATTCTAGATCAGATTCGAATTCTAACCCTTGCCCATCACTGTTAATTTCTAAATTAGAGGAAGAAGAACATAAATCTTGATCATTTGGATCATCTATATCCATAGCATCATCATCATCATCTTCACTAATAAACTCATACTTCATTTCACTCATATTCTCGGCTATTTCACGTAGTTCAGCATCACTTAATTTTTTATTTGACATTTTAAGTACTAATTTTAGAACCGTAAACACACAAGACTAATATTGCACAAACAACAAGTTTCTGCAAGTCAGAAAATGGCCATAATATGCCATCTGCTGAAGGAGTCTCAAACTGCTCCGCCATAATTTTAAAAAATCGGTCATACTACAGCCATCTGTTGATTAAGTCCCAAACTGCTTCGCCAGAATTTAGCAGTAAACTGTAGAAACCTAGATACGCATTTAAAACCATCAGAACTGTGTTCAACAAATGTACACACAGCTTGAAACATTACCATTTCATGTGACCAAATTTGGTACACGCAGTTTCTGGTAAACATCAACTGTGTACCAGAAATGGTATACACAGTAGCCAAAGTGTTAAATACCTAAATGACAGCAGCCTACTAGATTCATATTAATTGTTTATTTGGCTTTTTGACTAATATTTCATTAGCTTTAAATTCCCTAATGTTTAGCAGAACAAATACGAAAATATCTGATTATTACTAAAGTATATTTTAATAGACCAGGTAATATTGGTGATTTAAAAGTTAGGATAAGGGAAGAATATATTTAAATATATTTTGTTAAAAATATATTTAAATATATATTTATATATTTAAAAAAAATTTAATTAAAAAAAAATTTTAATAATTGAATATATAATTCTAAACACGTTGTAGCCATAGTGGTCATGTATATAGTTCACGTGTACTTCTATAATTCAATAGGTGTGAGTAAACAATTCTCTTTTCTGCTCAAATCCACAAAATATCCTGCAAACGCCATTAAACTTAAATACGTTTCACGCGGGTGCCAATTTCATTACTTTTATTTCGCATTGATGGAAAATAAAGTGCTGCTTTACTCTTAAGCTTTGGAAAATTTCAATTGGAACCAAGGATATAATTACTAATTAGTGTTGGTGTTTTTACAGGGCTCTACCTTTATATTCTCGTCGTGGAGACGCTCACCAGAGAGAATTTTAAATTAAGGGTGTACGTTTTCATCGGATGGGGTGAGTATTTTGTTTACTTACCTAAAGTTATTTAGAAGTCAGTTTGTATTTATATATTTTAATTTGTGGAGGTAGGACGCAGAGGGATATTAATAGCTAGAGGTCTTTGGGAATCCCTTAGTCAGTTACTCGTATATTATTTTAATGTATTATGTATATTTTGTTTATGTATGTATGATTCAATGTTCTGTAGAACAAATTCATTATTTGAGTAGTCCACTTGAACATACCGCATGTATATGTATATGCGGTATATATTGTATATGCACAATTAATTTAAGTAAAGTAAAACATACATTTAACTCTTAATCCACATGGAAAATAAATATTTTGCTTTATGTTAATTTTGAAGAGATTAATATAGAATCGGTACGAGTTAGATAAAAAAACACGTGTCAATAATATTTTTTTTATTTAAATATCAAAATTAAACATAGACAGTTTTGCACGAGTAATTTTAACTTAAGTAATTTTGCAGGAATATTTAATCAACTTAGACAGTTATGAAACAACTAATTGCTAATAAATATAATAAACATGTCATGTGCTATTGTACACAAAGAGAATATGAAACGTTTTTAATCTTAACATTAAACTCTTAAATCTACGTCGTCTTGCATTACAGTATCTTCATTGTCAGTTTCTTCAGGAGGACTGTCACTTTGGTCCCTTGAAGGAAACGGTAATATTTGAGGCTATCAAAAGTAATCCAATCTTCACCGAAATACTTAATGAGAAGGCCTTTTACGTCTTTTAATTTTGCTGGCTTCACAGGAACTGCAAGATCCATGACGGTAAGTTCCATATTTTCGAAGGATTTGCCACTTTTACAAACATTTCCGTAACTTAACAACTATAACCTCAAATTAAGGTTTATTAAGTTTCGGTTGTCCCAGATGTCAACATTTGTAGCTCCGGTTCACTCAAGTGGAGACGGGAGTAAGTATATCTCAAATCTGGGATGTTAAAAATGTAAATTTTAATTGTCAAGCGCCAGTCAGATTTATCTGAGCCATAAAGTTTCTTTTCCTAACCTAAATCTGACAAAAGTAGGAAATAAAAAGACAACCTTAACTTACATTCGTTTATTTATAAAAATATGAGAAGAACCACACTTGGTTTCAATATGAAAAGTAAATGTTAAAAGCATATGTTTACACGTCGGATAAAATTTAGACCGCAGTACTAATTTTAAAATTTATAGTCAAGTTACAAATTACAACCTTAATCCCCTTTACTATTTAAAACAACTTTTGTACTATTTCCCCCCAGACTATTTAAAATGTTAAGTAATGTTATTGATTATTTAATCATATAAAAATAGTAAAAAAATGAAAATATACCTATGTATGACAATCTGCCATTTTAGCAGATGAATAAAACTTTACTTCAGGGAAGTACCCCAAGTTATAGGCGTTGGATCCAAGGCGGACAACAGATGGGTAAATTAAGTTACAACACTACAGTATAGCTGCTTTAAGTTTAAAAGTATGAACAAATATTGTACATAGGCATTTACAAAATGTTTAATCAACTTTAAAATGAAAAATTATTAATTACTATTAAAATGGGAATAAGCCACAATTAAAGATAAAAATACGTTTATTTTTATATAAATAAACGTATTTTTATCTTTAATTGTGGCTTATTCCCAGTTTAATAGTAATTAATTTACAATGCCACAAGAAAATAGCTTCAGAACAATATGAAAAATTATTATTTAGTTAATAGATTTAAATGAAAATAGCATCAAGAATTTTATTAATCAATATTTCAAAGCCGCAAAAGTTAAATGTAAGTTAAAAAGTAATTTAAATAAAACTAAAAACTTATCAAGTCTCCTCCGTTTTTTTCGGCTCCTCAAGTCATTTTTGAATAAGCAAAACAAACTGCTACAGACTTCTACATACGAATCCAAGCTGTACAGTCTCAAATCCTTACCAAACCAGGGATTGGTGTTCTGGATTGTAAAATAAAACCCCAAATACTAAAGATCCAGTTACAGAAATCTCCAGATACTGAAAACTGCCCTAAAAATACCACCAAGTATTAGTATATGAAGTGAACCTTCAGATCCCTTCCCAATACTTTCCAAAAACTAGTAAGAACTGATATTCTTAGGTACAAAGAAAAAATGATTAACTAAAAAAAAACACAAAGTTTCTGAACTGTGAAAATGAACAAAAGATTATGTTGCAGTGAAGCTAAATTACTGAAAATTACAGATCTAAACCTCCCATACCCGTTTTCTGTAATAGAAAGTTAATATACAAAAAAATAGATCTAGAAATGCATTACAACACAAATGTAAAATAAATGTAATCTCATTTACCTCAATTTGAGAATGTTTCCAAAATCAATCGACGTTTCAATAATCTTCCAACAAGCTAAACAGCCTGTATACTTCTTCCAAAATGCTGTGACCACAGGTTTAAAACTCCCTTAACAGGTTAAAAAGCATGATACATCAAAAATACTAAATTTCCATCAAAATCTTGCAAAACTCAAAAATTACAACTACCAGAGGCTTCACAATCTGTGATGGTTTCAAATTACCATATATTAAATTAGAATTCGTCACTCACACCTGCTAATCATGCAGACATTTTAACGTCAAAATCAGAAGTGAGGAGTCCAAACGACAGACCCTGGAGACTGTCAGATCATTGGGACACGATAGAACTACAAAACACATCGACCATAGAAGTAATATCCGCGAACGGCCGGATGACGTCATAAATCAAATCACCAAATAGACTTTGAGTACAGTGTCGTTCACATGCTCTAACAATTCCTCATGCTAATCGGAGCGACAAAACTAAGTTGTCATTCGTACAAAACACACCGCTCGTGAAACGACACAGCGGACGTCTCCTGAACTACAGTCTAATAGCCCAATACCTGAGATACACGAAAAATCAAAACATAAGAAAGAAGAATTGGTAACCAAACATATTTTGTTATTTATTATGAATGATGAAACGACTTTAATTAATTACAAAAGTGATAGAAAATAGTGTTTCATCGTAATTCTACTGATGAGAATGGATAAACTCGACATTTTCATTCCTGTGTAATACCTTACAAGAAAAGTTCTATTATAAACCACCAGATGTTAATAACCAAAATAAAATATTACTGCTTAGCAAAACAAGATAAATGAATGTTAAATACATTTCTACTAAACACTAAAAACAGGTATGAATCAAACGACTACATACAATCTGTTCTAATTACTATTAATATGTTTTAGAGAATATTATCTCAAGGAATCAAACTTCCTAATAAATTATAGCATTTATCAAGCTGAAATATTTTAGAGGATTTCTCAAGGATATTTTATGCTTTCCATATAAACACCCTAACAAGTTATAGTACCTGTCAGACTGAAGCGGACTGTTTTTGGACTATCGAGAGATACACAGGTATGTACACACAATAGCCCCACGGTTACTTAAAACTAGAGTAAAAACCACATAGAGGACCCCAATTATACTCAAAATAAGAAATAAAAATAGCTAATACTAGATAACCTTTTTAGCAAAGTTTTCAACAAGTGGATGCTAACACAACTTAACTTGCAAACTTTTAGCGATTTGAATGTTTTTGTCAAGATCTTATCACTTAGTGGGATACAGACAACACTATTTATCCGGACTGATAGTGGCAGAATAATCACAAAAATCTGGTCTGACAGTAGTCTATCAACAAATGTGTCATGATGGTGAACAAAAATAGATGGTTACAGCACAGTACCCTTAACCGAATGAGGTAGTAAAGTAGACAATAACTTTGGGCTGACAGTTAAAGTAAAAATGAAACAAAACTCCCAGAAAGACATTTCACTACCTATAAGGAACTATACAATATCTACACTAAGAAATTCCATATACTTTATTATGTAACAATGTTAAATAAATCACATAACATGTACAAATTTACTTAATATATATCCAAATTATACTAATAATCCTAGGGTCAAAATAAATCTGTTACACATCTCATATGCATAGTCTGGCTCTCCTTTAATTGCAATTTTGTTATTTTTATCCTTTCTTAAAAAGAATCTCTTAGAGGCCTTAAATTGAAAATGCCATGAATCAGGTAGCTTCACCACATCTTTCACGGTAGTTTTCCAATCATAGGAATTGAAATTGGTACCGAGCCTGAAAACCGTACCATATTTCTTAAAAATACGCAAGTATGTGTCGGGTTCGACATTTACTTCAATAGGTCATATTTATCTTTCTATATTTTTAACAACTCGGTCAGGGGGTAAAAAAGAATGTCCAACAACTGTAACTTTTTTTATGTGTCGTGGTGCTTTTGTTTTAAACCAATTGGTCAACATTCCTACATCTATCATATTTTTGTTCTGGCCTCCACAGCCATCACAAAATAACCTGACTTAAGAAATAGTGGTTTTAAAATTGGTGTTTTGTAATCGATGAAATAATGCTGAGGCTATCTGATTGGACCCTTTCATAACCTCGGATTCCAACCATGTATAAACGAAGCTATTTGAGATATTCTGAGGTCCAGAAGATTTTACTTGACATATTGTTAGATTGTTCGTATACAGTTGCCTACTAAAGTAAGCACTTTGACCAGGTACTTTCGGCAAAACCAATTTTTTTTTGGCAGTCAAAGGACAAAATCAAATCATCGTCAGCTTGTGTTTTCAAACTTGTATAAAAGGATTTTGCCTTTAAAGTATATCCACGATATTGAGTAATCAATGTCTGTTTTTTTAGACGTTTTTAGACAAATCTATTGCAATTTTAATAGCCTCTTTTAATTGAATAAACTTCTAACAAGCATCTGTTGCTGGTGTTTTGAAACTTAAGTTAAAGAACTTATTAAATATACGGAGAAAAAATTCGTATCGCACTGGTGGATTACTCTCATCATTACTGTAATGATTGAGTAATTTTCTTATATTGAGATCACTTCTTAAATATTGCACAGAAGATATACCTCTTACATAATGTGATTCCAAT